TAAAGTCCGGGCAGTTGTCACTGGCATGCCTGGGTTACCCCGGCTGCTGCATACCAGATCTTCGCCCCAGAGCCATGCGGACAACTTAAGCTGTGCAGCTGCTATTATATTCTGTTCTGAGGCGTGCTATTTGCGTGCCTTGTGTAGCTCTTTAGCCACAGACAGCTCAGCCAGAGCATTTTATCAAAGGTGAATCATCCTTTCTGTCATGGCATAATCAAGGATTTTTTTTCCATCACTCAGAGAAAAAGGTGGTGGTGTCCTCTCCAAGTCATGTCTGGATAAGCTGCTTTTGTTTCCCCACTCATTTTATGACTGGAGAGAGGGAATGAGCTGCAGAACGATGACAGTTCCAATATAGACTCGGCTTTCTTGATGCCCTCCCTTCGCCCTCAATAAATCTGTGCTTGATAAGATGAGCTGCAGGAGCCATGGGTTTGCAACAGTACCAGCAGGATAAATATTTCTGTATTCCTAGCTGATTTTAAGATGATTGGTGTATGTTCCCCTCCTTTTTTTGGCAAAGGTTAGCCCCATTAGATGTACTGCTCTTCATTTCATCTCCTTCTCCCATCTGTTCTGTCTCTTTTCAGTAGAAACTGAGGAGATGTAGCTCCCACTCGAGCTGCCAGATAGCTCTGTCTCCCATACATGAGAAAATATCTCTGCATGAAGTAGAGCGGTGCCCTGCTGCGCACACGCATCAGATTGTACCACGAGGGCAGACTGTGCTCTCTCAAACTTCGTGATAAAGTCATATCCCCTCTGTCAGCTCATACAGATGAGGGAGTACCACTGCCTCCCTCAGTTAAGTGATGTTGAATCCCAGGCCTAAGGTAGGAGTCAAGGGAATCCAAACAGCCTTTTTCTGAGCAACCAGGTTATCATAGCAGTAGGTAAGAAAAAAAAAAATCTTTGTTTAAAATATTAAAACCACAATTCAGTGAGTAAATAAAGAACGGTGCATGTAGATAAGGTATACAGAATTTATAGATGACAATTATACAAAACCTGTGATTATCTGGATAATAAAGCCATAAAGACAGCAAATGCTTATACTGAAAAATTCCAAACTTTACATTGGAACTCATTGGCAGGTGGCCATTTCATTAAGGAAGAAATCTTACTTACCAAGCTCCAGAGCCTTGCTTTGTTTCCCTGACTTTTAAAGAAGATTTTGTAGTGTGTCTGTGTGAGAACAATTGCATGCCATGAGTCCTGTGTAGAGACGAGCATTATCTTTGAGAAAAGGTGTCTTCATGTCAATTAATTTAAAATTACCTCTGTCAGGCAAGCAGATATTTATTACAAGTAGTTCTTTATTACAAATCACCAGACTATATATGAAGCAAGGTGGTTTGCAGTGAAGGTGGCTTGCTTTTGCTTGGTGATCAGGTGCCTGGGCTCATTTCTGTCTTCTGGCTCTTACCTTTGACATCTTCTGGTCTTCTGATTTCCTATTTAGTATTAACTTCGAATAAGTAAAGTCACATTAGAAAGATTAGAAAGATAGTGATTTTTATTCATGCTTCTTGAAACTTCAGTTTATATTGACTTAACCATTTTTAATGTTATACTGTGAAATATTTTACAGTCAACTGAATGAAATTACCAGGTAGGTAATAGCTTCCCAGACGACACATCCATTTTGCCAAGTTATGGGACAGGCACATATTCCCTCTGCTATATGGTGGCAGTAAGGTGGATGGTGCTCCTGGTACAAGCACCTGTGATAGGAGCTGTAAATCTTTGCATCAGATTATGTGGAAGGATGTACCCCATGTGCAGGGTCACGTTATTATTGCTAGAGACTCAGGCCAGGGCTCTGGTCTCTGCTGTCCTAGAGCATTGCTGGAGTGCATGTTTCTCACAGCCACGGCGTGAATGGAGGACACAGAGGACAAATGGGGGATGCAAAAAGAAAAACAGTATACGTGTCCTGACTACATCCATGTGGGCATGGTATTTTAGCCAGTGATGCAAGAACAACCACATTTTGTAAGATGCCAGCAGCTGTAGCTCTGGGTCTTTTCTCCTAAAGGAGGAGTCTCCTTAATGCTTTTTTACTTATTAATCATTTTAGTTAATATTAATTGTTAATAGGCAGAATTTATTTAAAACTACATGCTTTGGGTGCTGATTAATTTTTTGCCATACTTTATTTCATGTGGTAGGGAATAACTCCTCTGAGAAATTTTGCTTTTGGCAGCTAGTGTAGCTGACAAGAAGTTCTTAAATTTGATGGTACTCCAGTATTATTGCAGAAGGGTATTCCTCCCTGACTGCTACATGGGGGGAACGATATTACTGTATTTTACTATATTACATATTGCTATATTACTATATATAGCAGTATATTACTACAGGGAACCTGCTTGGCTGTACATACATATAAGGTTCTGTTGGCATCTTAAAAGGTTTATCTGTAGATAAAAGCATTGGAGATTGCTGCATCTTGACCAATAGTTTGTAGGTTATCCTGCACTGTCTTCCATTAAAAGAGTAAGAATGTCAACTCTAAATACGCAGTACCTCAAAACTAAAATGCGACCAGTGTTCTCCCAGTTTAGGTATATTTCCACTATCCTTTTCCTTGTTTGAGGGTAACAGTGATGACAACTAAACAGAAAGGAAGATATTTTATTCACACATTTTGATTTTAGAAGTACTTGAATTCATTTGGTTCAATAAGTAAATGTCTTTTATTTACGGCATGGTTTGCATTCGTATAGCAATGGCATTTCCTCAGACTGTTTCGTAAGGTCACAAGTCTCTTTACAGTGCAAATCACGGCCCTTGGAGACTCTGGAGTTCTGTAGCAACCCAGACCCAGTTTTTTTGAAGCTAGTCTCTGAACACTGGCATGCTGATGGTCTTTAGGCACTGAAGTACTCTGCATACCTTTGAATGGTGTTCCATAATTCAATGAGTGATTGGGTATTACTGTGCTATTGTGCTGATGCATTTGTATATTTATATCCACTATTGCTTTCCTTTTTCTTAGTGATGACAGAAGGATGACCAGGAATAGAACATTTACCTAGGAGTAGGAAATCACATTCAGGAATATCTAAGCAAAATTTAGTATAGATTTATATAGTTTTTGTTGTCTGAGATTTAAAAGAAAAGATGCACCTATATCTTGGCAAAGCTCTATTCAAAATAGCAAGTGCTGAGATTGGTTCCAGTCAGAACACAACAGTAAGAAGAGGTCTTATTGAAAAGCCTAATGAAAATCAGTAACGGAATTGCAGTCAGTCATTGCTGATGAACTTTTATTTTATGTTAACTATTTTATAGACTGTTAGTAGTTTTAAACAAAACTATAGTGGCTTTCAAATGTTAGGTTGGAGGATTTAGGGAGATTTCATAAAATGGTAACTTGGACTTTTGGAAGGAAGGTATGATTTACGTATATAAGGTTTTAAACACTGCCTGCTGCCAGTGTGTTAATTCAAAAATAATACATCTGTGGTCGTGGGCACTAAGGAAAAAACAGAGCTATGGGATCTTCAACTTTGCATGGAGATACTGTTCAAGTCTTTGTCAAGCTAGATATATGCAACATATGTAGGTGTGTGTAGTACAGATGAGAAGAGGCATTTTTGTACTTATAGAACACTCAAAGATTGGGGAGATGAGAAGTCATTCAAGTCTTGGAAAGTAGATTGCCCTCTCACTGCAGCTAAGATTTTCAAGTATGTTTGGTGATTACAGGTAACTCAAATTTAAGGTACTCTAAAAAGTGTAATCTTCACAGAGTTACAGTGCAGCATTTCCCGAAAATAAGGCTGGTTTAGAGTGTTTGAAGTTTAGTAGCTAAAAACATCAACCATACCTCAAATTATTGGTTTCTTTGTTCATGGTTATTGTTTGCAGAATTATACTGAGAAATTGAGAAAAATGCCATTGAAATTGAAAATGGAACAGCTTAAATATCATATATTATGCTCTTAAACATTTCTTTAAACTGGCAGACTTGAATATGGGGAAGATGATCATATATTCCCTCTGTTTCCTTCCCTGAGTTTCAGTAAATTATTATAAATTCATAAGAACCTTCTGGAGCTTATCTTGTTGTCAACCTACGTCTACAACTCCTTGTGAAAAGGAACATCTCTTTCTGAATAATAATTTAATTACTTCAGTGCATTTGGGTTCCAGTGGCTGAAATAATTTTCACCCTTAAACTTCCCAGACTCCTGTCTGAGGCACTGTAGATCTCTATCCTTGCCTGTCTTGTCAATGTGGATGTTTTTTATCTCATATGTTTCTTCAGGCCTTTGATTTAGTTGCTGTCTTTGTCTCCACCATCTGGAATCTTTTTTTCACTCTGTTGCCTTTGCGTGGAACATAGATTCTTTAACTGAGCTCCACAGAACTTCACTGTCACCCAGAAATAATCCCAAAACTCATGTCTTTGCACATTCCTATTGTCCACCTACCATTTATGTTTCATTCCTTCCTTCACCAGATTTAGATAGTAGACTTCCTGGAGAAAGTACTTGGAATCACTTTAATCTTTGTGAAACGATTTGCAAGACTGTGGAGCCCTATAAAAGTCTGTTGTTAAGAACCTGATGGAAGGTTACAACCATTGCGTAATTTTTCAGGCAAGGCACACTTAAAGCCAGGATTATTATTTCAGGATGAATTTTTGTGCCTGTGCCTGTCACTTTAGAAGTATATTTAGAGGAGACACAGAGGAGACGATAGTAAAAATAAAGCATTAAGAATGTGAAGCTCTTAGTACAGTGAGGTTGGTTTAAGTCACTGGAATGATGATAATTAATAATACCTAAGTATCAGTTCTCTATTTTTTCTACAGAGCAGAAAAGAGATTCTGAGGTGGCTAGCTATAATGTAATAAATTGGAAGATACACTCATGTTTGGTCATATATTTCTACAGATGCATCCTTATTTTTCAGTCTTCCATTTATAGATGCTGTAAAATTTAAAAAAAAAAAAAAAAAAAAAAGAAAGTTTATTTCTTTTTCAGCCATTAATGAATTCCCTGAAGATGTATTTACAAATAAAGAACGGCAGCAAGGAGGAGTTCTACTTCATATCATTGCCGTAAGTTTTCCTCTACTGTGCTTTATTTTTGTTTTCTTTTTATTTGTCTTGTAAGATGTTAATCATCTTAGTGGGCTTACAAAATAGAGCTCTGTATATATCAACGTGTTTCTAATACTATGATTTCAGTATTTCTAGTATGTCTATATGGGTACAAATGCTCAAAAGGTAACATCTTAGGGACATGGTTTAGTGGTGGACTTGATAGTGTTAGGTTAATGGTTCGACTCGGTGATCTTAAGGGTCCTTTCCAACGTAAATGATTCTATGATTCTATGATTTATTTAAGAAAATGATGCAAGTCTGAATGTGCAGTGCCTATACATTCATTCTCTTGGGAGATAAAAATCCTGGCCGCGTGGATCAGAGACTGGATTCCTTTGTTGATGACATCAAGCATGATATGGAAGATTCTTGATTCTCTTTCTTGCGTATCGTGCGTCTATGCAAAAGATGCAATTGTAATTACAAAAAAACAACCCTGAAGAAATCTAGAGAATGTCATGTGGAGTTTTATATTTTATTGTAGAAAAAACAGAACAAGTAAGGCCTACAGGCCCCAGTTTTCCATTCCCAGGTCAGGGAAAGTAAAGTAAAAAGGAGTTGTGTTTGATGGACAACAGCAGGATTAGGCCCACTGCATGAGCACAGCACATAAAGCCACTTAAGACAGTGAGAGAACCACATGTATGCAGGGAACCAAGATCATTGCTGAGAGGTTTGGTGCAGTGAGCCACGGCCAGGGTCTGCTTCTTTCCAGGTGTGATTATTTCTTGAGTATTGTCCATCAACGTGGTGTTACTTTCTATTTAATTACTTAGTCCGATAATTAATTGAAAATATAGATGATGACTACGTAACTTTGTAAGCCTTACCCGTTACTTTCTTTTATATTAAGTCTGTTGTGGCACTCTATGCTGTCAAACTGTGGTACCTTTCATATTCTGGGTCTGGCAAACATTCTTGTGCTAAACTTAGTCCTACATTCAAGAATCTGTTTTTATAAATTGATCAGCAGAGTGATCTTTATTTGGAATGGAATAAAAAATAAAGCTATATATTTCTGCTAGTCTGAATAAATATAGCATTGCCTTCTTTCCTCTTTTCACGTACAGGAAAAATCTGAAGTATTTCCTGAATTTATTTTCTTTACAGGCTCTTTATATGTTCTATGCTTTGGCTATAGTATGTGATGACTTCTTTGTTCCATCCTTAGAGAAAATTTGTGAGGTATGTTAAAGAACTTTTTTCCTCTTTTGGAAATTTTTGTAGAGAATATTATAGAATCAAACATTTTGTGCCATTGTTGTTTGGAGTTCATTCCTGTCAACTTCTTGGCCTTGGTCCTTTTCAAATGATTTGGGCTTTCCATCAAAAAATGAACGTATGGTCTGGGCACATTGGTCCCTCTGGCCGCACTCAAGGAGAAAAAATGAAAGATTTTATGAGATCAGATGGCAAAACCCACTCTTAAATACCTGAAGCATGTAGCTAGGAGGGATATGACATATGGATGAGTGGGGTTTATTATTGTACTCCTAGTTTTAAAAGTCATTTGTGAAAAGGAATCATACGTAGACAAATTAACGTGTTGGCTATGCAGATTTTATTGCACATCTACCACTGCATCGACAAGGAAAAAGCAAGCGTATGCGGTCCTAGTATAAAGTGGAAAAAAGTAAGAAAAGGGAGAGCGCATGAGAAAAGTGTGTACCTTTGTTAGATATGGAATGAGAATACATATTTTATATGCAAAAAATTAGTAAATAAATATAATTCCTTTACATAATTGTTGAGAAGACTTTGCAAAATTACATGTAGGATTCTGATTAAGTGAGTTGATCGGGACAGAGTAGAATTTATACTTGGCATGTAAGTGTTGTGTTAGGTAAGGCTTTGGTGAACTACTACAAAATTAATACAAAATGCAAAACAAGATTTTAATTCCTTTTTGAGGGCAAAATGAAAATGTCATCCCCTTTGCTTTTTAAGAAAAATGTGTGTGACCATTTTCTGAAAAACTCCTGTAACTAGTTAAAAAGTCTCTTTTCCTATGGATATATGTACTAAATTCCTATCAGTGTTACTGAGAGCTAGGTACTTACGCTTATCAATAGAAGAACAAATAGAAGATGTCTTCATAAAATCTTTGCCTCTTGTCTCATGTTCTGCTGAACATTAAAACACCTAAGAAGAATTCAGATAGCACACTTACGCTTGAACTCCTGCAACAGTAGGACTGGTAATAGATCAAATGGTACAGTAAGGGCCTGTGTTTATGATTTGTCAAGTTCTGTAGGATGCCATTTTCATCAGCTCAAAATGTTGTATACTGCCTGAAAAATACAGGGTTTCTGTACTGGTCCTTTTGTCATTAATCACTTTTCTATCCTTGCAGAAAAATAAGGTACTAAAGATGAGTCTAGAGACTCTCAAAAAGGAAAAAGCTCCTTCATAAAACCTTCTTCATAGGTCAAGACAAAGATCTTCAGACAGCATTAAATTGACACAGCCCACTTGTGGAGCTACTCATGTTTCTGCCAGTCTGAGAACTCTAAGTTATCTATATCCTATTAGAGCTTAAGAGGCACTGTCATAAAAATAGATCTGTGTACAGTACACAGGCCTCTCTGTGTCTAATTGGACTAATTTTGTCTGTGTCAGTGGACTCTCTTTTGATTAACACAGTTGTAAAGTGAAGCCAGAATCAGGCCTGCTGTTGTAAGATTTATTCACAGAGGTTATATTTTTCTCTTATGGATTTTTATTTTCAAATTTTAGAAGCCCCAGGAATTGCCCCCTTAATTCTTGAATGATTGTGTTTAGAGTTCCAAAAGTAAATGAATGAAAACAATTTGAGAAGTTTACAGTCTTTTTGAATCTGCAGAGATGCTTTTCTCTAATCGGCTACATGTAAGCCACAATTGGCTATTCAGTTATACATAAGTAGGTAATTTTATCTGACACTTCACTGAGTTAGGGTATAAACATTTTACTTGCCCAAAGTATATTTGCCTTCTCGAAAGGAAGTGTCTAATTTTGTATCATAGTGACTGTTCATCCTTTAACAGCACTGTGGCCAGAAAATGAAGAGCTTCTATCTTTACAACTGTAGAACTGTGCAATGTAAATACAGTAGCAATGCTGACATTACCAATGCTTTTCTTCCAGAAGCTACATTTGAGCGAAGATGTTGCTGGAGCCACATTCATGGCAGCAGGGAGCTCCACTCCAGAACTGTTTGCATCTGTTATAGGTATGGAGCCCACACACTAGCTTTTATGAGATCTGCTGTTAAAAAAATCAGCAGCAGATCAAGCAGAGATATCCAAAAGTGCTACCATTCTTCTGTCAATTTATAATCAGCAATTGCAGCTGTCAGCTAGTCTGTGGTTCATGGTATAATTAACTACTCAAAATATCTCATGAAACTGTGAATCTCCTCTCAAAACACAGAGAGGAATGGCTGATTCTGAACATAGGAAGTAAAAGGAAAGGTTTATTGCAGTCCCCTGGGAGAGAATTTGAGATATTTGATGCCTCTTTGGCTTCTTTCTTCACGAATAAAGGGAATTAATTTTAGCAAGGAGAACAGGGAACATGGGAAATGAACAAATTGATGTATAGATAAGTCAGATCTGTTAAAGACAGAAGGACATGGTGTACATTACTTATGGAATTATTTGAAGTAATTTCTGAAATATTAAAGATTATTTGTATAGAAAGGAGGTCTAAATGGAAAAATAGCAGTCCTTCTGGATGGTATCCCATCCCTCAGGCGTGTCAACCGCACTACTCAGCTTGGTGTCACCTGCCTGCAAACTTGCTGAGGGTGAACTTGATCACACTGCCTGTGTCACTGATGAAGATATTAAACAGTACTGGTCCCAATTTGGACCCCTGAGGGACATTACTCATCACTGATCTCCATCTGGACATTGAGCCGTTGACCACTACCCTCTGGATGCGACCATCCAACCAATTCCTCATCCACCAAACAGTCCACCCATCAAATCCATATCTCTCCAATTTTGAGAGAAGGATGTTGTGGGGGACCATGTCAAAGGCCTTACAGAAGTCCAGATAGATGACATCCATAGCTCTTCCCTTGTCCACTGATGTAGTCACTCCATCATAGAAGGCCACTAGGTTGGTCAGGCAAGACTTGCCCTTGGGTGAAGCCATGAATCACCTCCCTGTCCTCCATGTGCCTTAGCATAGCTTCTAGGATCTCTTCCACGATCTTCCCAGGCACAGAGGTAATTCCTCTGACAGGTCATTAGTTCCCAGGGTCCTCCTTTCTACCAGTTTTAAAAATGGGTGCAATGTTTCCCTTTTTCCAGTTCCCAGGGACTTCACCTGACTGCCATGACTTTTCAAATACCATGGTGAGTGGCTTGGCAACTACATCATCCTATTCCCTCAGGACTCTGGGATGCATCTTGTCAGGTCCCATAGACTTACGTATGTTCAGGTTCCTCAGGTGGTCACAAACCTGATCTTCTCTTACAGCTGAAGGAACTTTGCTCCTGTCTTGTGGTCCATCCACTCAAGGTGTGTGGGAAGAGAGGTTGCCAGTGGAGACTAAGGCAAAAAAGTTGTTGACTACCTCAGCCTTCTCCTCATCTCTTGTTACCAGTTTGCTAGTCTTGCTCATCAGGCGGTATGCTTTCTTTGACCTTCCTTTTCTGGCTGACATACCTGTAGAAGCCCTTCTTATTATTCTTTGTGTCCCTTGTCAAGTTCAGCTCCAGCAGCGCCTTGGCCTTCTTGACCCCATCCCTACACAACCGGGCAGCGTCCCTATACTCTTCCCAGCATCCCTGTCCCTGCTTCCACTGCCTGTGCATTTCCTTCTTGCCCTTTAGTTTGACCAGCAGGTCTTGACTCATCCATGTCGGTCTCTTTGCCTTCCTTTCTTGATTTCTTACACCTGGGGATCGAGAGCTCTTGTGCTCTATGGAAAGCGTCCTTAAAGATCTGCCAGCTCTGTTCTGCTCCCTTGTCCCTGAGGGCAGTTTCCCAGGGGGTCCTATTGACTAACTCCTTGAACATCTGGAATTTTGCTTTCCTAAAATTCAGGGTCCTGACTTTACTCTTCGCCTGACCCATATTCCTCAGGACTGCGAACTGCACCAGTGCATGATCACTGCAGCCCAAGCTGCCTCCAATCTTGATGTCACCAATTAGCTCACTTGTGTTGGTGACCAACAGGTCCAGTGTCGCATCCGTTCTGGTAGGGCTGTCTATTACCTGGCTTAAGAAGTTATCCTCAATGCATTTCAGGAGTCTCCTGGATTGCCTACAGCTCGCCATGCTACTTTTCCAGCAGATGTCAGATGGTTGAAGTCCCCCAGCAGGCCAAGAGCCTGCAAGCGCGATGCCTCCTGTAACTGGAGTAAGAAGGCTTCATCAATAGGCTCCCCTTGATTGGGCAGCCTGTAGTAGATACCAACCACAGGGTTTCCTTCATTGCCTCAGTCTCTAATTCTTACCCATAAGCTTTCAACCTGCACGTGGGTATTCTTCAGAGACAGCTCTTCACATCTATCCATTCCTTGATGTAGAGGGCAACCCCGCCACCCCTCTTTCCTCACCTGTCCCTTCTGAACAGCCAGTAGCCATCGATAGGCACACTCGAGTCATGGGATTCATCCCACCAAGTTTCAGTAATGGCAACTAGGTCGCAGCTTTCTAGCAGCATGGTGGCTTAAATTTGATAAATCTGTCTTTAATAAAGCCTTAGTAGGCTTTCTGCTACTATCTGACTGACATTTTTACAAACTTTAGGGAAATACAGTCTAAAGGAATGCACTATAACTTCACATCCAATTTATTAAAAAGCAGTGAGTGTAAGCCTTTAAGGCTGCCTTTAGCAAAAGATTTAAAGTACAAGTAGATACAGCTCTGTAGTGCATTCATGTTACCTTTGGTTCTGTCTCAGTCCTGAAGACTATATTAGATAATCCCCGGAGGTCCACTCCAGCCATTAATTTTTGTCATTCTGATACAATTATGTTACAGAGATATCTGGGGCATAGGTGGGTTCAGTACTAAGGGAAATCTGAAAGTCGGTACTAGAGCAGGTTAAGTCTGAGTCCTCGTTGTCTGTTCGAGTCAGAAGGTACACATTACTGCACCCAAAGTGGCCACCAGCGTTTTTGAGGGAAGACTCTCTTACTCCCAGGAGACACTGCAAGGAAGAACACACTAAATATTAAATACCTGGGAGAAGGCTTTCTGTGCTTTAGTATACTGTTTGAAATAAATTCCATGCTCCTGATGTGACTGGAATGTTTTATACTTATTTGAATGGATTACTGCACCACTAACAACCAAGCTGTGAAATACAGGACTTACTGTTGAACTAACTAGCTAAGAAATTATTTACTTTTAATAAAAATATATATGTAGAGATATTAAACCAAAAATGGGGAGCTGCTAGCTAGACTAAAAGCACAAAATATTCCACAGAAAAGTGAGCATTTATTATGAAACATGTTTTGGTTAAACTTTCAAACAATCTCTTGTTCTCAGGTAGTACATGTACTAAGTAATTGCCTGTGACCTAAAATGAAATGACAGAGGTAATAATGCATGTTTTGCTCCCTCTGCAGGTGTATTTATCACTCATGGAGATGTAGGAGTAGGGACCATTGTCGTTTTTTTTGCATTGTTGGTGTCTGTGGAATGTTTGCAGGACAGGTTAGTAGGATACTTATCTTCATGGAGTTCAGTTGCTTACAATTCAGGAGCTTCCATGAGCAAATATTAAAAAAAAGGAGTATTAGTCAAAAACAAAAATGAGCTGGCATTGTGAAAAATGTCAAATGTTGGAAAGAATTTACAAATGCTTTACAAATAGAAAATGTTTCCAAAAAGTTCAGCTGTAGTTTCAGCAGTCTGAACATGTAGCATACAGAGGAAACTGGTTCCTCTTCATACAATATAGTATTCACAGTCAACTGATCAGTGGCATCTGCTAATCCTTCTTGGTACTGATGGTGATCAAAGAATCAAGGACACAAGCATGAGATTTGCTCCATCTACTCAGTAGATGGTTAGACTGTGTATCATTTTTTCAAGTATTAAGTCCAGTATACCCACAAATACAATGAAGTGGGAACCATTGATTTGCTGCAGTACAATGAATTGTATTTTACAATTGAAATTATGACCAATTAAAATATCATTAGTAAGAAGTGTATTTCATTAATGGAAGTTTCAGTATGATTTTTATTACTGGTGGTTATTATAGATCCGTTGTCTAACAGTCTGATATGTCTTCCTGTTAGCATAAAACTGCAATTGATTCCAGAATTGTTGCTAATAGTAATTCTGCTCACACACCTAAGTGATTGCAAGATAGAGGCCTTTGTTTTGTCTTTAAAATTGCATAATTTTGATTGTCTGAAGGTGTGATGTTTTTCAGGTGGTTTGTCTCACCCAGTGGGCTCTGTTCCGGGACTCTGTGTACTACACGATATCTGTGATCGTACTTATTGTTGTAAGTAGTTCTCTTACCAATTAATGTGTTTCATTGCTTGAATTTTTGGAGGACCAGCCTGCTAACCATTGATATACACTGGTAAACAATTATTTTCCTGGCTAGTTCTAGTGACATCTGGAAGTGAGGGCTCAGCTCCACAATATGGTCCAAACGTGAAAACTTCATACAGCCCCACAGAGTATGTGTCTATCATGTCCATCCATGTCCATTCATTTTGTACCTACAGTCTGTAAAGTTCTGCAGGCTAGCAGGCTGCTGTTACACACTGCAGTTAGCACTCTTTTCTGACCTAGGGGACTGCTGCTTGTGGAGGTGAAATATTTTGAGCTGCACCTCTTTTAAATAGGGAAGATGGCTGTTTCTTGCCTCTACGCAGTAATTTTATTTCACAGATTCTTGGTAATTTTTTCTAAATAGAGCACAGGGGAGATACCACTTTGTTCATCTAGAGCAGTGTACATACGCATTTACTGTACATACGCATTTACTGTGTCTGGTGGCAAGGAGGGGAAGAATCCACTTTGGTTTGTAATCAATATGGATCACTAGCTGCCCATTCAGTTACAGGAGTTACACAGGGTAGAGTAAGATGTGTATAACCACTTGGCCTAAGAGCAGAAGTAAAATGGCTGCCTTTTCTGCTAAAACTATTCTAGCTGTTAAAAGGACTCAGAGCTTGGTTTCTTCAGAATACGTGACTTTGCTGTCATTTACGCTGCACAGCATGTGAGTACATGTGTGCATATCTGTCTGTCTTTCACATGGTCCCACTGTTTTTCTGAATAGTATTTATAACAGTCACTGAGAGGGATCCAAGCCTTGTTCACAAGGTTTGTGCTTTGTGAGGGGCACAATCCATACAGTGAAAGTTCTGGTTAGAAAGGGTCAAAACTCGAGTAGCTTCTGGCTAGATATGACTGATAGGACTGGACAGGCTGAATCAATGGGCTGAGGCCAATTGTGTGAGGTTCAACAAGGCTCAGTGCTGGGTCCTGCACTTGGGTCACAACAACCCCATGCAACGCTATAGACTTGGGGAAGAGTGGCTGGACAGCTGCCTGGTGGAAAAGGACCTGGGGGTGTTGGTCAACAGCTGGCTGAATATGAGCCGGCAATGCCCCAGGTGTCCAAGAAGGCCAATGGCATCCTGGCTTGCATCAGGAATAGTGTGGCCAGCAGGACCAGGGAAGTGATCGTCCCCCTATACTTGGCACTGGTGAGGCTGTGTTCATTTTTGGGCCCCTCACTTCAAGAAGGACATTGAGGTGCTGGAGCGTGTCCAGAGAAGAGCAACGAAGTTGGTGAAGGGTCTAGAGAACAGGTTATATGAGGAGCGGCAGAGGGAGCTGGGGTTGTTTAGCCTGGAGAAGAGGAGGCTGAGGGGAGACCTTATTGCTCTCTACAACTACCTGAAAGGAGGCTGTAGCGAGGTGGGGGTCGGTCTCTTCTCCCTAGTAACAAGGGATAGGACGAGAGGAAATGGCCTCAAGCTGCGCCAGGGGAGGTTTAGGTTGGATATTAGGAAAAACTTCTTCACCGAAACGGTAATCAGGCATTGGAACAGGCTGCCCAGGGAAGGGGTTGAGTCCCCGTTCCTGGAGGTATTTAAAAGATCTGTAGATGTGGTGCTTAAGGACACGGTTTAGTGGTGGACTTGGCATTGCTAGGTTAACAGTTGGACTTGATGATCTTCAAGGTCTTTTCCAACCGAAATGATTTGATGATTCTATGATTCTATGATATTTATTAAATAAATTTGACTGTTTTTCAAGATAGATCAGAGAAATGGTCAATTTATGTGTTTCCTTTTTGTTTCCTTCTTCTAGTTCATATATGATGAGAAAATAGAATGGTAAGTTGTGTAAATTATTCCCTACAGTCCCATATTTTCCATGAGACTGATCAGTAAATAGAGTTGCAGTGTAATTAGCTTTCGTTCATACATGCTGGGAGTATGAGCTGGATTTGACACCTAGGAAATCCTATGTATTTTCTTTCAGGGAAAACTAAAAGAAAATTTAAGAACCTGGAAACATTAATGAAGTAAATAGGCTATATGTAAGGCCTGAAGACTCACATGTGCAGAGAGGGTAACCAAAGTTCTGCTGCTCTGATTCTGGCTGTTAACATTTATGGGGGTGCTAGGTGTCCCAAAGAACAGTCCAAGGCGGGATCCTAGTGAAAGATCTTAAATATCTTCTAAAAGAGTCCTCTCAGAATGCCTGGCCTGTGCTTCAGCACTGAAATAACAAAAGACCTTGGCATTATGATCCTCAGAAGGTACCTATGGTTTCAGTCTGCATAGCACGTTTCTGAAATATATGCATTACATTTTATTTGCATGTTTATTGGAACTTGAGAGTCTGCTTCCCCCCCATTCTGCTGAGACTCCATCTAATCTTAATGATGTGAATCCTGTGTACACAAACATGACTTGTATTAGATGTTTAATGCACACTCCTACGTAAAACTTCTAAAGCATACAGCTGTTTGAATGGCCTTTTAACACTTTTTTTTTTGTCTCTTTGAGGTGGGAAAGCCTTGTACTCATCATTATGTATTCATTCTACATACTTATCATGAAGTAAGTGCTTTTCTTCTCTGTATGCCCTTTAGGTGTTAATTGACCATCATTCTTTTGGTGTGGTTGTTCTTGGCC